CGGTAGCTGCCGGTGGCGGTGAGGATGGAGGCGGTGTCGGAGGGGGGTTTGGCTCCGTAGGGTCTCTCCCGGGGGCCGGCGATGGAGGACAAGGTGCTGGTTTTGGAGATGGTGTCCGCAGCCGGGCTCCGGGCCCACGAGGGAGTTTTGGGGGCCACAGCGTCTTCCCTGCCAGGGGGGGACAACGTCGGAGAGATTGGCACCAGCAAGCCCCGCGAGACCCATCCCCGGCATCCGCCCCCCACCCACCCCCAAAAAACAGCGACGGGGACCCCAAGGTTCTGCAGAGCTCCTTGACCCCAAAGCAGGGGGGCAAGAGGGGACGGGGTGAAAACAGAGACAGAAAATGCACTTGTTGACTCTGAAACCTAGTGATGACTGGCCAGAGATGGAAACCTCCTCCTTTCTCTGTTAACTCTGAAACCTAGTGACAGCTGGCCAGAGATGGAAACCTCCTCCCCACCCCATCTGTTAACTCTGAAGCTTAGTGATGACTGGCCAGAGATGGAAACCTCTTCACCCCCTCTGTTAACTCTGAAACCTAGTGATGACTGGCCAGAGATGGAAACCTCCTCCTCCCCCCCGTTAACCCTGAAGCCTACTGATGACAATTTAAATCTCCTCTATGGGAGAGGCGCCTCACTTGATCTCATTGGCTGCTTCTTCCTGGCTGTCACGTTTTTTCCTCCGGTAGCTGACCACACGGCGGGCAAAGAAGACAACGGTGGCAAGGGCACCCAGGGAACCCAACACGGCACCGGCGATGACAGCTTTGGTGCTAGCTGCCGGAGAGAGACAGAGAGGCAGCAGGGAGAAGGTCAACTCCCCCCTTATCCCCCCAGGGGACACCATGGGGACCAGGGGACACCACGGGGACCATGTGTGTGTCCCCCAACCCCGCCCCAGCCCTGCGGACACGTACTCACTTGAGTGCACCTCCAGGATGATGCTGCACTCAGCTGAACCCACTCGGTTTTCGGCCACGCAGACATAGACGCCCGACAAGTCAAGGGAGAGGTTGGTCAGCTTGAGGGTGCCCCTGGCCCGGTCTGCGGGTGAGAAATTTGGGTGCTGCCCTGCAGCCACCCGCCCCCAATTCCCCCCACCTTCTTGTGTGGGTGGAGTTAAGGGGACAGTCCCCTGCCTGCTCAGGCAGCAAGGACAGGAATGGGCAGAGTTAAGGGGACGATGCCGAAAGCGCCCCACAGATGGAGCCTCCCAGGATTTTCCAGCCCCCTCCCTGCTCCCCAGTTCCCCACCCTGGTGCCACCTTACCCTGGGCGGGGGGGAAGAAGACTTGCAGGGTGGGGGCTGTGCGCTGCCACTGGTAGGCGGGTGAGGGCTTCCCCTTCTCGGAGGCACAGCTCAAGGTGACGTTGGCTCCCACGGCAGGGTCACCGTGCAGGCGGCAGGTGGGGGGGGCCGGCGGCACTGCAGGCACTGATGTTAGTCCCGAGGGGACACCATGGGGTGGGGTGTCGGAGGAGCTGGGGTGACCGGCAGAGCCTTACCCAGGACGGTGAGGTTGATGACGCCGATGTTCTTGCCCGTGCTGGTGGCGTCGTCCACCACATTGACGGTGCACATGTACTGGCCCGAGTCACGCTCCCGGGTGGCGTTGATGAACAGCGAGATGTTGTGGGTGAGGATAGGGTACAGGAAGCTCACGCGGGGCTTCAGCTCTGTCTCCTCCACCTTCATCACCCCGTCCATGTAGGTCAGGATCTGCATGGGGGAAAACGTCCGCTTGGTCACCTCTGGACGGTGTCCTAAATTTTGTGGAGTGGCCGTCACCACGGAAGCTCCCTCCAGCCTCATCTGCCCCCTTAGCATCCACAGTGCGGGAACCAGCGGCATCTCCCCATTGTGGGTTCCATGAGCATCCTCCTACTGAGGGCATCTCCCCATCATGGGCATCTCCTGATCATGGGCACCATGCTCATCCCCCATTGCAGGCATCTCCCCATCGTAGACAACATAAGCACCTCCCTACCGTGGCCATCTCCCCATCTTGGGCATCTCCCCATCATGGGCACCACAAGCACATCCCCCTTGCAGGCACCACCACGGGCATGACCTCATCATGAGCATCCCCCCAACAAAGGCACGTCCGCATCATGGGCACCATGAGCTTGATTCCATGGTGGGCACCGCCCCATGGTGGGCACCACAAGCAGCTCCTCATTGCAGGCACCATGGGTATGTCTCCATCATGGGCATCGACCCATCATAAGTACCGTGGGCACCTCCCCATTGTGGGCATCTCCCCACGGTGGGTGTCTCCACATGGTGGGCTACCTGAGCTTTCCCCCATCGTGGGCACTTCCCCATTGTGGGCACCATGAGCTTCACCCCATCATGAGCACTGCCTCATCATGGGCACCAATGAGCAGCCCCCCCATCGTGAGCACCTCCCCATCATGGGCACCGTGAGCACCTTCCCATTGTGGGCATCTCCCCATGGTGGGCACCATGAGCCTCGCACCACCATGGCCACCTCCCTATTGCAGGTACAAGGCGGTTCCCCCCATGGTGGCCACCTCCCCATCACAGCCACCACCCCACGGTGGGCACCACGAGCAGCCCCCGCCACGGCCACCTCCTGGCTCGTCGCCCTCCCTCCCCCACCACAGCCCCTCCCCACGGCTCACCTGGAAGGGGTCAGCATCTTCCTTATCCAGCAGCCAGGTGACATAGGGCTTCTTCTGGGAGTGGCTGGTGTACCAGGCGGGCAGCACCGCTTGCTGCCCTTCCACCGAGAAGACCGACCCCGTCCCCACGTGCACCTCCAGCACCGCCGAGGAGACGCCTGCCCGCGGCCAGAGAGGGAAGAAAACGGGACGTGACTCAACCCCAGGTGCTGCTTTTCTGTAAAAACCCACCGATTGTTGGAAAAACCTCCTTCTTCCCAAGGGGAAACCCAACAATCCCAGGTTATCGCCGGGCGGCTGGGCCGGGGAGGCGTTCTTCCTCCCTCCCCGCCACGGGAAGGGTTTCATGGCTGCTCCGGAGGATGCCGGACAATGCCGTTCCCTCCCATCCCTATTTCCCCCTGCCGGGCTGGGAGAACCTCCGGCTGAATATCCCCCCCGCCCCAGCCACCACTGCCTCTTCCTGAGGGGCTCCAGGGCCTGGACACCCCGTTTTAGCTCAGGATAGGGGTACCCCCAGCCCTCCCCCACGCTGCTGCACCAGATCCTCCTCTCCCTGGGATTTACTGGGGGGGGGGG